GGAGCAGCGGGTGGGCAGCTCTGCACAGCCGAGCCAAGTTAATCACACGCTGCCGGCTCTGCCTCCCCCCTCCCCTCCCCACTCCCCAGGCGATGCTTTGTCGGTTTTCCTCTGGTTTTGGACCACATGGATCACCTCTCTCACCACAACAGCTCTCCTGCTGCCCCTCAGATCTCTCAGCTCTGTGTATTGCATTGTCCTTCACTAGCTCTGGGGTCACCCATTCCTCAATTTTCCAACAATTCCTGCAAGTGGGGTCTCAGGCCAACATCTCACCAGGTCTGCAACTCAGATGGTCAAACCAGAGATTCCCATGTATTGCTAAGGCAAATCTGTCTCTTGATGGAGACACCTCAACACATTTGCTGTTGTATCTCTGGACACCTGGAGAAACATCTAGAAAACATCAACAAGGCTCCAGCTCCTGCTGGCCAGCTCACTGTGGTCTGGCTTACAAGGAACAAGGCAGTGCTGAGAATCACAGAGCCATGGAATGGATTGGATTGGGAAGAACCTGAGAGCTCATCTCATTCCAACCCCTCTGCCACGAGCAGGGATAGCTTCCACTGGAGCAGTGCAGGTGCTGGTCTCTCCAAACGTGATGTGGAGATGCAGGGCCAAGCTCCCCATAGCCCCTGGCACTACAGCACCCTGGCCGAGCCCTGCAGGAGATAAGGCAACAAGGACGGAGGAAAATGGGATATACAGAGCTTGTGGGGAAGAGCAAACAGCCCTGGAGGAGTCATCACCAGGGCATGTGGCTCATGGAGAAACGTGAGTAAGAGCCTTTGGCAAGTGCAGGGCGGCTGCCAAAGGGGTGCAGGGCCATTTCTCAACTCCCAACCTGCTCCCATGACTCCTGGGCCAATGTCTGAAGCATCAAGATCAGCAGTGCGAGGTCCAAGCCCCACCCTGGGGCTGAGACACTCGTGTCCAGCCGGCATTAGGTAAGTGTGTGTGGAATGCAGCTTTCCTTCTGCTCCCTCAAAGAACAGCCCCATCCCCACACCCCGGGGAGCAGCAGCCTCTGCACGGGGACAGGAGCCACACACCAACACCTGGCAGGCTCTGCTCCAGCCTGGTGGCTCCAGAGGGGCCCCACTCTGCAGCACACAAGTGACCAAGCCTGGGCTTCTACTGACTCACGTCTCGGGGGCTCCAGCGGGGCTGGCCCGTGTCTGACCAGGCTCCTGCACTGCTGGGGCAGGAACAGGATCTCTCTCTTCTCCCTGCTCGCCCGGATTAATGAGCTCTGGAGGAGTTTATCATCTTCCACAATATTCACTCATCTGTTCTATTATTTAAAAATGCTGGGACACAAGTGTTGACTGGGAATCCCCCTGAGCTGGGCAGGGTGAGAGTGAGGTATTGTCCAAACAATATTTGTTTTGTCCAAACAACACGATGTCCTGAATACAGTGAGTGCCAAGGAGAGCTGAGGTGAGGGAGGCCAAGGTGAGACAGCCCATCTGTGACTCATCCAATTGTGTCTGTCACCACAATGCCTCAGCAGCTGCAGAAACAGCCCCATTCATCCCAATTTCACCTCAGAAGGTCACCAGGACCACCAGACTCTCTAGGGAAGTCCCAGCCCACCGCAGCCTTTCCAAAGATCTGTGAAACTGGAGCTCTAGATGAGGAAAATGAGCAGGGATTACTTGCAGATCTTTGGCCAAGGTATCAAAACTCCCCTCCCTGCCATTGTGGTCTGGCCTCTGGGTATCCCACCCTGACAATGCAGAAGGTGTGAGCATCACCCCCCTCTGGCAGATGAAGGCAGGAGCTACTCTGGAAGCCATACTGCAGAATGGGGCTTGGCAGACTTGGCCAAAATTGATTCCTTACCAACAGGAGAACAGCCCTCCTGTTTTAGTTATGAAGATGGTTGCAATGGCACGGAATAGGCAACACCTCCTAGCAAAAAGGAACCAGGAAGCAAGATCAAAACAGGTGAGTCCTCCCCAGACCCTCACAGGACATTGTGGAATGAGAGCACTTTCAGCCCAAACA